AAAATAATAATAACAATTAGGTATTTTGAACTTCTAGTTCAGAAATATTTTAGTACTAGGCAGAATAGCTTTTAGGCATATTAGACTAAAATAAAAACGTGGGGCCCATTAACTATTGCTGTAATACTTTCTTCTATACTAAGTGTGGATTGCATCGACTTACTATAATCGTAACTGGAGATTTTGATCAATAACCAGCCGTGGCGGCTTCACCAGCGAACGCCGAGCTCATGATCTACCAAAGTATAAAGATATGCTTTGCCATAGGTAGTATTTCAGAGGGGCCCCACGTTTTTATTTTAGTCTAATATGCCTAAAAGCTATTCTGCTTAGTACTAAAATATTACTAAATACTAATATAATACTAATTGTTATTATTTTCTAGTTTTCAGTGCACATAAGATAAAACCATTTAACTTAAAAGTTTTTTTACCGATTTTTACAAATTGTCAGTTTTGGGTTCGTTGAAGGACTATTAGAGCTACAATTTAAAAATAATTTTACAAGATCCAGCGTGTCCCAAATAAGTAAAAATATTATATTGTATTTTTTTAAAAGGAACACCCTGTATATTATTCTATTTTTAGATTGTACGAGTGAAATAAAGGTAAGTTTGATTAAGGTTTATCACACTTAAACCGTACCGTTTTTGAAATATATTCAATTTTGTAAAATTGCAGTAAAAAATTTAAGGCTTCATTTATCTAAGGGTATTAAAGTTTTTAATATTAAATATTTACTAAAGATTATTTATTGATCAGATATTGTGTTGCAATAATGAAAATTATGTTATCTTATACAGAGTGTCAAAAAATTTAAAAAAAGCAACATATGGGAAAAATTATTTAAACTGCTTTTTATCTTTAAATGAAATAAGCGAACTATATCGACAATATTCGTATCTGTACTCTTTGAAAATTTGTTACATGAAATATACAAGGTGTTCCATTTACAATAAACAAGTTATTGCCGTTTAAAGCTAGTAATTTTGTTTGTTATTGCAACAACACAATATCTGATCAATAAATAAACTTTTTTGGGTGTAGCAAATAGTTTTTTTTATGTGTAACAAATAGTTTTTTAAGTGTAACAAATAGTTTGATACGTGTAAAATAAAAATTAATAAAACGTATTTTTTACGTGTAACAATCATATAAAAAAAATAACGTGTCACTACATATTTCTAAGCCGTTACAACTTTTCTTTTCCACTAACTCGTGTGTCACGACCTTGAAATTGTACTGCCAGACAGGGGCGTAGATAGGTGTATGCTATGGGGGTGGTACTATGATTAAGTCGCAAAAAAAATCACCGTCGGAATTTTTTTGTCGAATTAAAACGACGGCGATTTTTTTGTCTTCAAAAAGATATAAAAACATAACACAAAAATTAAAATATAGATTTTTAAATAACATAAACAAAAATGAAACAACGACGTTTATTAGTTAATTTTCTATAAACTATAAAAAAAAATTCTAAACTATCAAAAAAACTATAAAAACTATAAACTATAAATAAAACTACAAAACAAAATCAAATTTTCTAGTACGCTGTTTGGAAAACCTATCAATAACAGTATCAACATCTATTTCAATATCTTTATGGATATTGATTAGAGTTAGCCCCACTAATCTGTCCTGGCCAATAAGAACACTTTGTGTGCTTTTAATTAGGTCGAACATATTATAAACGATAAATCAACATAATTAAAAGCATACAAAGTGTTCTTATATGTCGGATTTTAATTTAAAAAAATCCTTTCATAGTCAATGACTATTTCAATTCTCGTATCTCGTCAAGCGTCAGGGGGGGGGTACTGTCCCCCAGTACCCCCCCCTTATCTACGCCCTTGCCAGAGCGCGTAAATAAGTTTCACTTCAAAAATGGAATTAGTACGTATAGTCGAATTTTTCCAAAAATCTTCCAAAAAGTATTTTGAATGAGTGGACTCTTTGGATGTAGGTACATCAAAATTCGCTTTACCAAAAACAAAATATAATTTTAATTTATATACAAGATATATTCCTAATAATTAAAGATAAGAGCGTAACAATTTTGGAAAATTTTGTTAAAAAACAAACATTTAATATCTTTAAGTGTTTCTTATCACATTACTGTCTGATAACAGACTATTACATTGTTTTATGCAATTAAAGAACACGATTGTCGAGATAAATCAAGCATGGCACCAGAACCATAGTTGGCATTTACACAATTTTGACATAAAAAAAGAATCACCGGTACACATGTTTTTTTTTTTGAAAAATATTCGTATGCACGGTCCCTGATGAATTTATCGATAAATTTTTAGCCATTAAAATATGTTATACTTATAGAATCACTGAATTTGAATCACTAAAAATACTTGGAACAAAATTATAATAAATCGAAAGATTATTAAAACTTTAACATCCTGTAACTAAGAAAAAAAACCAAAATCGGACCGCATGTTTTCTGAAACACACTGTATAAGGTCGCGGTGATTAACTTCTTCTCACTCATACAATCTATACCTTTAAAAATGTTGATGAACTTTTTTCAGTTTAGTTTTGCTATGGAGTTTTTTTATTTGTATTTTAGTACGTGCATTTTTACATTTATTTATGTATCAAGGGAACTATAAGGGTGTTAATATTACTGAGAGCAAAGTTTCTGGGCTATAGACCGAGGGACAATAATTGTCTGAGATTATTAACACTTTATAATTCCGTAATCTATACTAATACATAAAGTATTTGTCAAGGATTTGTCAAAGACCTTGTCAGTTCGCAATATTATCTAAATACCAACATATCTATTCTGTTGGTGACTCTCTGGTATCCGTGCCTTGTAGTGCTGGCAAGATCGGTAGTATTTATTTGACTTGTAATATATTAGTAACTCTTTTTATTTCTTGTTTTTGATTATACATAGTGAACTTATTAAGTAACTGCTAGAGTTTAGTCTACGCAACAAATTTTGTTTTTTTATTAACTATCATTATTCCCACGCACAAGCTCTCAAGCTTATGTGGGATAATTTTGAAAACATGTTTGTAGTTTATTATAATAATTGTACATGTTTATAAATAAATAAATAAATAAAAAAAATCCTTAAGTGACTGACTCAATACTCAACGTAAGAAGCTCAGTTTTGGCATACAGGTTGATTCTAGGGTGTAGAGGTTCGATAAGAAGGGATTTTTCGAAATTCCATTTCCAAGGGGGTGAAACCACCCCTCAAATATTACAATATTTTTTATTTAAAAAACGGTCAAGTTTCCGAAAAAACGCTTAAACACGTATATTTTATTTTGTTTTCTTACATATTTTAAGTTTTTTTTTAAAAATGTATACAGGGTGTTTCGAAAAATCTGGTCATTGATTAATCACGATCCTGCTTAAAGCGCTTGACGTAAAAAGCTGATTTTTGGAAAACAGATTGACTTTAGGGTGTAGAGGTTCGATAAGAAGGGATTTTTCGACACTTGAATTCTAAGGGGGTGAAACTATCCCTCAAATATTAAAATATTTTTATTTTAAAACCGGTGAGTTTTTCGGAAAAACTCTTAAACACGTATATTTTATTTTGTTGTTTTACATATTTTAAGATTTTTTATAAATTTATACAGGGCGTTTAATAAAATATGACCATTGAGTAATCACGATTCTGCTTAAACTGCTTGACGTTTAAAGCTGATTTTTGGCAAACGGATTGACTGTGGGGTGTAGAGGTTCGATAAGGAGGGGTTTCTCGAATCTCGAATTTCAAGAGGGTGAAACACCCCTCGAATATTACAATATTTGTTATTTAAAAAACGGTTAGTCTTTCGGAAAAACGCTTGGACAAGCAAAATTTATTTGGTTTTTCTACATATTTTGAAATTTTTTAAAAAATCATACAGGGTGTTCCAAAAAAAGTCGTTGCGCTAGTAATATATAAAATCCTTAAGTGACTGACTCACTGATTAATCACGATCCTGCTCAAACCGCTCAACGTAAGAAGCTCAATTTTGGCATACAAGTTGATTCTAGGGTGTAGACGTTCGATAAGAAGGGATTTTTCAAAATTCCAGTTCCAAGGGGGTAAAACCATCAAATATTACAATATTTTTTATTTAAAAAACAGTCAAGTTCCCGAAAAAACGCTTAAACACGTATATTTTATTTTGTTTTTTACATATTTTAAGATTTTTTAAAAATGTATACAAAGTGTTTCGAAAAATCTGGTCATTGATTAATCACGATCCTGCTTAAAGGGCTTGATGTAAAAAGCTGATTTTTGAAAAACGATTTGACTTTAGGGTGTAGAGGTTCGTTAAGAAGGGATTTTTAGAAACTCGAATTCTAAGAGGGTGAAACTATCCCTCAAATATTAGAATATTTTTTATTTAAAACCCGGTGAGTTTTTCGGAAAACTCTTAAACACGTATATTTTATTTTATTGTTCGACATATTTTAAGAGTTTTTAAAAATGTATGCACGGTGTTAAAGCTTATTTTCGACAAACGGATTTTTCGAAAGTCAAATTCCAACGTAGATGAAACTACCCCTCAAATATTACCAAGTTATATGTATAATAAAATCGCCATATTGTTTTTTCTCATGCTGACATGATTGTCTGAGACTACGCCACTGTATTCTACGTAAAAAGTCCTACAAGAATCAGTTTTCACCTTCTCGATATCTTTCACAATAACGGAGATACGGGGGCTGTCCCAAATTGCAAAATTTTCAAAAAGACCCTGTAGCTTAGAAATGAAGAGGGCTATGAAAATTTTGTTGACAGCATCTTCCGTTTGACAAAAAAGTTGCTTGTCAAACGGTTTGTGCAAACCGCACCCTTCTATCTTCACGAATAACGGAGATACCGTATGATTTCAACTAAAATGGGACACCCTGTACATTGTCTATACAATATTAAAAAATAAACACGCAGTAGACAATTATGCTTGAGATAAGTGTCAATTGGGTTCAGTATTGTAGATAGATAAAACAATCTGTAATGATTAATGTTACAAAATGAGTTTGAAATTTTCATTAATAGCAGTACCAAGCAATACGTTAGACGTTCTCGGCATCTTCCACGCGCTAGTTTAGTTTGTTTATGTTTCAATTCCTTTTGGTCTATCAGAAATTCATAGTGATTTATTGTGAGTGAAGTCCTATTAGGATTTTTATTTTAGTGCGAGAAAATTCAGAAGAAAAAAACTTAGTAAAAATTCAGTAAGTAAATTATTTTTTTGTATTGAGTTTTGCAAATTTTTATAGACCTATATCTGGTATACGGTGTAATAAAATAAAAAAAGACGTCATAGTAGGTATGAAAGTGTATCATTTTTATTGGGGAACTTTCCCATATAGCACGTCCAAATAAAATTACGTTTCTACAAGGGAGACACATGAGAAATAACATATGTTAAAGTGAACCTAAGTGTTCATCTACTTCTAACATATACATAGATAGAATTGTGTGATACAGTGTTTACTAGTTGCATACCGTATGCACTCAAGATTCTAAAGAGTTTTGTGTAACGTAACAAATAATTATTAAAATGATGAAATCTGACGTCGGTATATGAGACACACAATGTATAAGTCATATGTATGTGTGATACTTCGTATCATAGTTGTGCCTATAGTACACACCTTGTAAAAATGTGACGTACACACATAATATAAATATCTATATAGACACTTTGTAATAGTGTACTGTTGTGTCTAAATTCTAGCATGAAATGAAGGTGTGCGCATGCGCGGATAGCCTCAGCGTAGATACACCGACCAAGTGTATCTTATGTGTCCCTCTCCTTTCTCCTTTCTAGGAGTGGTATGTGTTAGCAGCCATTATTGTTTTATCATTCGGAAGCTCTATATAAATGTTCTGTTTGTGTGTAGTTTAAAAGAGATTTTAAGGTAAGTACAAGTTTTTAATTATCTTGTTACATCTTCCTAAGAGTATTATTAATATTATATCAGCGACTCTTCCCTTACTCGATAACCCAATTTACCAAATTTTGACTCCAATGAATGAAAACTCCAAATATTCTCGTATAATGATAAAGAGGTTAGCTGAGTTAGCTCTGCAATATCATTTTTTTTTAATTTGGAAATAATAAAAATCTAAATGGACCAGAGAAAGAAAGATTTAAACGCTTCAAAGAACTTCTTAAACTGATATTCGGTAAGTTATTGATGGATCGATATACAGATATGTTTAATATTCAATAATCAGTTTCATATAAAATTTAAGGGTGAGATTGTTAATCTGCAAATAAAATACTACAAAGTCCAACAGACTGCTCGATGAATGAGTATGCTAATAAACCAACTGCTTGGAGGGAAAAGAGGAGAAAAAAATGACTAAACGAGGTCCACTAAATCGTGGCGATATACCAGTGTTTACCATTTTAGTATGTTGTTATACTAGGATATTTTTAATACATTTTGATACAAATTCTGTTCTTTTACGGTGTTTTCTTACTTCTGGTTTCTGCAGTGTAAATAATTATTATTATTGTGTTATTTGCGCTATTACGTTCCATGATATAAAGAAATATAATATGTAATTTTATTTTTTAACCACTTAATCCATTTTATGGAAGAAAAATGGTACATTTAATACAAAACAAAAATGGAACAATTTTAAGGCTACTTCTCTTGAACTTACGATCGAGATACAGTATTGGCCAAAAGTGGATGAACCAATACCAATAATTGCGAAGAAAATCAGATTTGAGGTGTTAAATATCAAAATTATTTTATGTACCTCTGTATGTTAAAAGTTTAATACATTCTCACCAAAATACTACAAACAAATATAAATTCTTCTGTTAGTCTTATCATTTATAGATAGGAATTGGCAAATATTGCTTTTTGTCTTGGACAAAATAGATGAACCAAATATTTTTAAAATCGTTAGTTTCATTTGTTCTGCTTTTATGAACAATTGCGATTTAAAAACATTTGAGCTCTTGTGATATATCATGCCACGTGGAATTAACTTGTCTGCAAATCTTAAGTTGCGAGTAGTGAATGCTTTTAAGGATGGTTTGAAGTAATCGGAAATCGCTAAGCAATTACGCCTAGAAAATCAGCGGTACATTATATTTTAAAGAGATATAATGAGAGAGGAGATGTCTCTATAAAAAGAAAACCAGGACGACCTAAAAAAGTTGGTCCCAATATGATAAAAGCCATAAAACGAATTTCTTCACAAGATCCATTTTTGCCGTCAACGAAGATAAAAGCAAAACTTGAAGAAATGGGCTATCCACCAGTGAGTACAAGGACGATCCGACGTAAATTAGTTGACCAGAAGTTGTTTTCCCGAAGACCCGCAAAGAAACCACTGCTATCAAAAAAAAAATTGAAGGCCCGATTAGCATTTGCCAAGGAATATCAAAACTGGACTGTAGCACAATGTAAGAAAGTTTGTTTTAGTGATGAATCAAAGTTTAATTTGGTGTCATCAGATGGAATTCAACATGTAAGAAGACCTCCCAACACACGATTGCTACCAAAGTACACGCGACCCACTGTAAAACATGGTGGGGGCTCAATCATGGTATGGGGGTGTTTTTCTGGGTATGGGATGGGGCCTCTCCATAAAATTGAGGGCATAATGGATCGGTTTGGCTACAGAGACATTTTACAAAACCTTTAGTGCCTTATTTGGAGGAAAAATGTCAGTTGTACACTACTTCCAACATGATAACGACCCTAAACATGCCTCACAATTGGTTAAAAGGTTTTTGGAAGATGAAATGGTGACTGTTCTCAAATGGCCATCGCAATCCCCAGACCTGAATCCAATAAAAAATTTATGGGAAATTTTGGATCAACACATTAGGACCAAATTCTACAAAAATAAGCAAGAATTATTTGCAGCTTTGGAAGAGTCTTGGAAAAATATCGATTTTTCTATAATTGAAAATCTTCTGGGATCTATGCCTAAGCGATGTTTGAAAGTAATTAAGAATATGGGTTATTACACTAAGTACTAGTAAATTATAAGTTAATTTTTCAGTTTTTGTTAACATAAGATTTTTTTTTATTAAATATATATTTTGTTCATCTACTTTTGTCCAATAGTTTTTTCAATTTAAATTTTTTGCTACCTTATTAAAGCACATTTTAAAAAAAACAATGCTATTTATTTTTATAGCACTGACACTAGACTTCAAGTAAATATAGCTCAAATTTTAATTGTAAACATATTAGGAAAAACCCATTATTTTAACAAAGTTCATCCACTTATGGCCAATATTGTACTTTTGGAAAATACAAAGTTTTGCATTCCTAATTTTCGTTCTAAAAAGATATAATTGGTATCATTGGATAAATATTTCTTAAAAAGAACGAAAAGTTAGGCATCAAAACTTGTATTATTTCCTAAATTCGTTCATAAGAAGTAGTTTCATCTAGCACAAGATGTATATACGAAGCAAAATACATACGTATACACGCGGTAGTCACAACTGCAATGTGTAAACCGAGTTTAAACGTAATACACAAGCACTGTGTATCCTACGGCATACTGTGTATCCCTTACTTTGTGTATACGTAAATGCTATACTGTGGCTACATTGTGAGGCGGACGTTTAACCTTTGTGCATACGTGTTGAACTGCAATGTGTAAACGTAATATTTACATCGGGGGAATTGTGTCACGCTGTGTCTACATCTAGTAATGTAAACACATCGTAAATGTGATTTGATGTGCTATGTGGGTTGGTGTATGCCTATCTCTTAAAACGTTTTGGCGAAAATGCATAATTTTCAGTTTTTTATCTTTAGAATAGCTGAAACCAGTCACATGAAATCACGTTTGTGTTTTTCATTCAGAAAAATGTCTATTTCTAAACATAGACACTAGACACGCAAAAAAACTTCTTGTGGAAGTGTACCATTTTCATTTATTGATAAAATATTGTAAAACATAGCAAGATTTGAGCTGCACTCGGCAATTGGAATACGCAGGCAAACGCACTCGGCAGTTTTTCTTAATGTTGGCGAGATAGAAGCACTTTTTTAAGTTAGATTAATGTCCAAATGAATTGTAATTATAAGTGATCACTCTGTATGTATGCAGGAAAGATGTTTTCAAGGCCGCAAACTCGGAGAGCCATTACTAATTAGTGTGTTATTATTATGAAATGAAAATAAATAAACACGATGTTACTGTCAAGGACATATATTATTATTGTACGTATTTTGAACTGATTTGGTACTAAGTAGTTTTTTATTTTTCAATTTAAATAACGCTTTATTGTAAAAAAAGCCAAAATAGCTTCATAGACAAGGCATTTACAAAACAAACAAAAGTACAAAAAATATACAAAAAGTATATTATACAATACAAATCATACAATTCAAAAAAAATTACGTCATTAAAATTACAAATAGAACATACATGAACATTGCAGAACACAAAAAGGCGTATCAATAACCTTTGCCAAATGCGGAAAAGAACGAAAGCGACTTGATATTCAAAGGCAGATGATTGGACATTTTTTTGGCATTGTACAGGGTGGACCATTTTGGTTGTTTCTATAGGGTATCTAGGAAACCGTGAGAAATATTCAAATTTTGATACTGCAGTCTCGGGTTCTTCTTTTGAAAAAATTATAATGGCGCAAACGGATCGTGGCTATCTTCATCGGTTTCGAAGCTACAGGGGGATTCTCAAATCTTGTACTTTTTGAAAATGTTCGATAGTTTGTTTATTTCAGCAACCACGGAAAAATAAATTATACATTCTTAAGCCACTTTTCTGTGTAGAATGCAGTGGCGTAGTCAGACTTTTTTCCAAAAAATATTTTTTGAGATATTAACTATACTTATGTTTTTTTAAATAGAACCCCCTGTATATTTTTAAATTTCCTTATTCAGCTTGGCATGGGCTTCTCGAAAATATATAACACTCTATATTTATTTTCACTATTAACCTCAATATTTCAAATTTTTCTTAAAATATCCACTTAGTGGATAGTAGGCCGCGCCGAGGAACAAAGTAAACGGTTGTCATGGTGATCGGAACATACCTTTGATGGATGCGGGACATTTCATTTCAACAGATTGAAGTGCGTGTAATTTAAATAATAAAAAAATTAGTATGATGAAAAATGAATATTGATTTTCTTCATCTTCTTTCTGATAATATTTTGGAACGGGGTTTTTGAAAAGATCCAAAATTGATTAAACTGTCTTCTAACCTTTTAAAA